TTAAAACATGACTGTTCATTATTATTTACATAGGTGTAGCCAGAATGGTAATTTATCATATAAACGGTCTTGCTGGGAGTTCTGCTCACACGTGATTCTCGGAGCACCATTCTCAAATATCACATTCTAATCAAAGCTTGGCTGCATAATTGAGATTTTTGAATTATGTCCTGTTAACAAGGGGGGAAAATTCTTATTGAATTTATGTAAATAAGTATATTGCCATAACAATTAAGAATGCTCATTAAGAGCTTTCCAATTCCAGAGGAAACAGGTAGAGAGAAATGATGTTTCATCTCTGTTTGCATAACCATAGCCTATTGAATTATTATAAGTTATAGTTGGCTTTGGAGTAAAGAGGAAATGGCTCTTTATGCCCAGAAAACAAAACACTTAAAGCATCAGGTAATATCCCCCCACATAAAACCCATAGTAATCCTTTTGTCCTCTCAGTCCTGCAATTAATTTCTGTACCATGTATCCTGGATCAGCAGTCATGAACTCATCAGCTTCTTCATAACAATTCTGGAAATCTTAATTCAGTCCAGTGGTATAAGCAGCAGCATTTAGAAATCTGTGTCCAAACACCTGGCATAGACTTTTTTGGGTCCCTTTTGGGGGGAAAATCTCTGGCCTGTGGTTTTATTGCAGGCACGTCCAGGACATCACCAAGCACTATCTGCAGATGATAAAACTTAAAAAAGCCGTGGTTGCTGTATTACTGATAATAATTCACACAAGTGAAAGACCCGATGAGAATCCGTTATCAAGTAATGCAAAGCAAAAGAAAAGTCAACCCAAAAGAAAACTCCAGACAAAATATCTCTAAACTTAGTGATTAACTTTATTTTCTAATTTTTCAAAATGGATGACCCCAATCCTTTGTGAGAAAAGAAAAATTTTAGATTTAACATATATAATCTTGAGACGTAACAAAACATGAATGTAAAGCATATAGTTAGGATATACCAAGAATAGAGCAGGACTATCAAGTTTCTAAACATCTGAATATTAATGAAACTCTTAGAGGTAAGGGAAATAACCCTCAGTTGAAACCCCTTGAATTCGATCCTACTAGATTTAAATTTACCAATAAAGTTGCAACCAAGCTAACTATTAAAAAGATAACTACAATTATGACTAGTAAAATTATGCTCTTGTTGTCTCATATTAGGCAAAATACAAGAGAAGATGCTAACACATAAAATTTTAAACCAAAGAAAATTAGACCCTTCTCCTGATGGGGTCACGTTTCACACAATTCATAACACATTAAATAAGCCTTTCTTGTTTCCCCTACAACTCTTTCCGTGCAAAGCAGGAAAAATCCTTTTGTGTCTTGTCATGAAGTTTCAGAGTTGTCAGAAGTTTACCATAGGTCAATGAAAAACAATCGTTATTTAAGCAGAGGGTTTAAAGGAAATAAAAACAAAAACCTTAGCTTTTTCAAAATCATGTGGTTTGGCTTCTTAAGTCAAGGGCATAAAAGTTAACATACCTCAGAGACACAAAACCTTTGCCTCCTAGACAGATCGCACAGAAGTAAAAGTATCTTTTCATATTACAGGTGCAGGCAATAAACAGTAAACAAGGAAAGAAGACCATCAAAACTGAGCAAACTTTGTTAAGTTTTTAACACTTCACAGCTTTTCAGACTCAGTATTTTACACCACGGCCAATAAAACTTTTCCAAGCCATGCCCTTTAGTATGTTCTTATATTCCGGAATAAACAGACACTTTATTTTAGGTCTGACCTCAGAGGGTCTGCGAGGTCAGAACTCATTTCCCGATCTTACCAAGAAGAGGTGATGGACAGACAGTGCGTTCATTGTTGCTATCTCCCAATGATTTACTCAATGAGCAGTGTAGTGAAACATCCTCCATGTTATTTTCTGATATTGCCGATGTCGGTAGTTACCCCTCTTGCCAATGCGCTCACACACTCTTTTACATCTACAGAGTTTGACGAGTGCAGAGGTGTTTGGAGACAAAGAATTAAAGAAAGAAAAGAAAAGAAACACTGCTTTTGGGCAACAAAACTAACCATTTTTCTTGTGGGGGAGGGGAAAAAGAAGTCTGTATAGTCA